AGCAATTACAATATATATTCTTGAAAGCATTCTTATTTTACAGCATTTTTTCACACCTGCCTAAAACTTTTGCACAGTACTGTATATCAGTTGGTATATACCATCAGTAGTTCCTGAATGAATAAAATAATTCTGCTCAGCAGCATATTAATCTTAAGTGTGTGTGTGTTCATTCTCCCATTTTGCTATAAACCCATTCATTTCTATACAGGTAGCCCCCAGGTTAAGAACACCAGGTTTAAGAATGACCCATAGTTAAGAACAGCCTATTGTAGCAAAATTTTAGTTAAATACACAATGATTCAAATTATTTACACAATGCTACTTATACAGTATTATACAATAATGCTGTTCCAGCTTACATACAAATTCGACTTAAGGACAGACCTTGGGAACAGAACTTGTTCTTAAACTGGGGGCTACCTGTATTGGTATATGGAGGGAGGAAACTGTAAATGCAGTTTAATGCACAGCATATTTCAAGATATAAATGTTTTTATAAAATATGCCAAAATGTGTCTACATGTGCAAAGCTGATAAATTAAAGGCATATTTACTCTAGGAGCACTTTTAAAACAATCCTTCATTTCCATATCTGAAACAAAATAATTTACATACTATGTAGCCTGATCAATACCTAAATCATCTTGGGTATCATATAGAAGAGTTTAAAAAAGAATTTATCACTGAGGGAATAGTAAAGTTATGAAATACATTGATATATGTTTGAATTTATGAATTTTCTCATAATAAGTTATTTGAAAAGTTACATTAAATGTAAGGCAGTGAAACCAGTTATTTAAGATTCTGTGGTGCTTGTGATTTTAATCACTATTTCTTATTCCACTGTAATACAAGAGCCTGGTTCTATGCACATTTAATGGGAAGTTAGCTCAAATGAGTTTACAGTCCTTGGGCTGATACATAAGTTAGCCTACATAGGATGTCAGCCTTATGTTGTTCAATCCTGCTCTTATGTACACTGGATAAAAAAAACAATGTCCGTCTTAAAGTGAATTTTGCTGTTCTTGTTTCTTTGATTAAAAGGCAAACACTTTCTGCTTATAAATGTCAGATGTTTTCTAACCTATTATCTTCCTTTAGTTGATGATACTATTCTAAACTCTACATTCTTGAAATTCTTATTCATATGAACGTAACTTAAAGATACAAGAGAAAAGAATGTAAGAATGTAGCAGATACATCAAATTACTCACTCTTTTGGTATTAAGAATTACAGTCTTTGGCATTTCTCCATCCATGTCAGTCTTACAACTATAATTTATTGGTTCCTGTGCTCTCCTAAAAAGCTCACTATTTGGTTAAAGGCATTTTCATTTGCACTGGTAATTAAAATGCCAACTTTAGTGCCAAAATGGAAGTGGAAAAAAACATGAAAACGATTTTTAGAGGATTTAGGCATAATGCACTAGACTAAGGCCTGTGCCACTTGGGAGGCTACATACATTAGGTATAAGAAAATAACACTTGGGAGTGTTAGAAGGAAAAAAAAAAAGACTCTTAGGGACAAATGGCTCTCCAGAAACCCTAGTATCTTGCAGCAATTAACTAATGTTTACATGTGCTTTATAAATTATTTTTTAAAACATCTTACTCTAGAAAGCCTGTTCTCTTATGACATGTTCATGTTGATGCAAATTAATTGTGAATAATATTTCTCATACTATCCTAGTGGAGGAAAATAATACAACTAGAATGAGAAGGATACCACTTGAAAAAAAAAGGCACCAAATAAAAACTTAGAGCATGATTTGTATGTCCATTTCTTATGCCAGGTTAGTGAGTTCTAGAAGAAAAGTGATTTGGTCACACTTAAAACCATAAAAATCACTAGGCTAACCTCATAGAGCTCCATCACTGCTAGTTTTTTATTTATGTCATGGAGTAGTTGAATGTGAAAATTCTGTATTTTCTTATCACATAAGTTATTGATGTTCTGAAGACTTTTATTCTTTAATTCCATTTCTGAAGTGAGAATGTTTGTACATGATTCAACAATATCACTCCTACTGTGGGTATAAACAAGGAAAGGAAATAAGGGCCAATATTTGAAAACAAAATTTGCTTAAAGTTCTACAACCAGAAAACATTTTTCCTGTTTTGTGGCATCATAGTAATTGCAAGGTTTATACAGCTATTGTAAAAAGACAATACATTTGAATGATCAGGAGTAATTATTCTGAATTACATTAATATGTCTTAATTAGGATTAAATTTCAGATATAAGTTTTATAACTAGAATTTCAAATACTATGCCAAACAAATTTTGAGAATCTAGTAATAACAAGTTAGGAGCTGCTGTTGCAGGGTTATTATTTATGCATAATCCAATGTTGCTTTGGAACATATCTGAAAAATGTTTGCATGTTAATTTGAAGTTACCTTTGAATTGTGCTACAGTAAATTGGAATACTTTGCTCAAATAACTGTGCAGTTCTAATAATTTTCCTGAAGCAGTTGTGAAACTACAAACTTTTAAATTTTTTCAAAAGCATTTTTTTCCTTTCTACTTCTTTGCAAATGTTAATCTTACTCATCCTGTGAATGCATTATGTTCAGTCATGCATATATATTCTGTTTTTAAGCAAGGTGTAAAAATTGTATATAAATAAGAATGTAAATAAAATATTTTTAATTTTCATTATAGCTTTTCCATTCTTTTCGTTCTTTTGCCATTATTATGCCTAAAGCTTCACATTCTTAAAGTCATATATATTGGCTTACTTGTGAAAGTATTCAGTAGTTAAATGCTGAGCTGAAATGCAAATATAATAGTTTGGGCCAGTTATAAATTTTGACAATCTAATGAAATTTGAATACGTTAGAGCCCTAATAACTTTGATGGGAGAAAATAAGCGGGCTATACTTTCTCTTTGAAAGCAATATTTAAAAGAGCTTAGTTTTGGCTACCTATTGTCCACTGATATACTAAAACTAATTTACTATGGCTGTGCAAAGCATTTAAAAGAATTGTTTCATAATTTGTATTAGAGACATTTTATTTTGCAAAATTTTTATAGCACCCTTATTGACTGAAGGAATTACCTCTCTTCAAAGCATTATACTAGTGACAACCTTTGCAAGGCCCATGTGACTTTTTTGAAAGCTGCTCCCAGATATCTTACATAAGCACGCACAGCCTTTATGTTTTTCTGGTAGACTAAGCAGAAGGGTTGCTGTGCATGCATGCAGAAACAACTGGAAGCCACTTTTGAAGCAGCTGTGTAAGTCTTGTGAAAGACTTGGTAATTTCAGTACTTCAAAGGTGCTTCTTTTACTAATGCGTACTGTGAAGCACCTCTTCAGTTACCCTTAATATTTATTGGCCTCTTTCTATTATTTCCCATCTAAATGTCTCAAGTTACTACTTGTAAGGATGCACATGCTGGTTGGCTACACCATTTTATTCTCATATAATATCACATCTTTCTATCAACAATAACTTGCTTTGTTAGGAATTTCATGAAGCCAGAGAACTGTGCATATTCATCCTCTGCCTCGATTGTGTCTGCAACACACACACGAAGAGCAAAAAACTATATGGGGAAGAACAATTTCAACTCTTGCTGCAACCATATGATTTAAATGGAGAAAGCTTGAAGGAAAAATAAATTTATCACTGATTAATCTTCCCAAATATCTTCAGTTTGGAGCGATCTGGACCAGTCATAAAGCATTACTGCTTCTTGCTCCCAGTCTTCATTAGCAAATAGACTTCGGGGGCTTGGATCTCCAATGAAATGATCACTCAAAGAAGGACTACTTAGGTCCTGAACAGCAAAATATAAAAACAGCAAAAATATAATTTGAAAGTTAATCCAGTGTTATACATTTTAATCAAAATTCTTGTTTTGCACAGGTATTTAATACAAATGCAGCTATCTACCTTGAGGATTCAACAGAATCTAATGAAATTGCAGTTTTTCAAGCTTTTGATCAAAATTAAGCACATTTCTTCCCTCCAGAATTAAACATGCTTTGAACAATATATCCTTTAGAAAGGCAGTTGTCTTGGATATAGGATTCGCACGGCCACTACAGCTGTGGATTTAGATTCTTAATCTCCAAACAAAGTATTAGATTGAAGGGTGTTTTTCTTTTTAGTAAGTACAAAACAACTAGAAAGGGTAAGCATGCAAAGAATGTCTTTGGCCTTCTTTCCAACTCCTTTAACCAGCAGTGGTCACATACGCATCTTTTTCTATGTAACAAAACATGTTGCATGTGTGTTTGTGTGTGTACTTCTGCTTTCCCCTTGTGTTACAGCTGTTGTGCTTGTATGTATGCACTGGGAAGCACAGGGTGAGTTTCATATGTTTTGATCTGGCTCACATGATCAGAAGAAGACGGGCGAAGGCCGGCTTAAAATGGAACTGTGAGCAATATTCTGAACCACTGCCCAACTTTTACCACAAGCAGCTCCTCTTATCCCATGACTGCAAATTGTCTTCAGATGCCTTTGAAGAGATTTTGTCAAAGGCTTTTTGAAAATTCAAAGATAGAATGTCATCCAGATGCCTGCTGACACTTTCAAAAAATTAGATTGGTGAGACAGGATTTTCTTTTGCAAAACCATGCTGATTTTCTTTCAGCAAGACTTATTTGCCTATGTACTAGTTTTTTCTTAGATTACTAGTTGTATTAATTTGGATGGAGCAGATGTTCAGGTCACCAGCCTATAATTTCTTGGATCTTCCTTTAGACTGTTTTTAAAAATTGGTATCAGCTTGGCTATTTTTCAGTTCTTTGTAATGCAGATTCCTATTACCAAATATGTAATGTTCTCCACATATGTACTACTTCTTGGGGTGTATTTCCTTTGGAATCTGCAAAATCCTTTACTTTTTACATTTTTTATTTAAAACTCAATTTAAAAATAAGAAAGGCTGCAAGCAAATCGCTAGTTTCCTGCATTGTTATTATTTCCAATAATGCCTTTGGACCCAAAATGGGTCCCATAAACTTTCTTAGAAAATAAAAATAACAGGTGGCTGCAGCTCAAACAATTTTATTTGAAATTGTGACCACCATCCCGGGAAAATGACTTTTGGATTTGGGCGGTATCCTAGGTAGGGGCTAGAGGGGATAGAATATGGCATAAACATTTCCTTTGTAGCTGGTTATGTTCTCTAAAGATAGCCAGTGTGCTTTCAAAATTCCAGATATGCCCGCTAGTCCAAATTATTGAGGCCCCCTTGCCTGTCTATATCATTGTGAATATCTGCAAGTGTGATGGACTGGAATGGAGGAAGGGGGGTGAAAACGGTGCTCTCGTCTCCAGAGC